GTGTAGGTCGTTTCAGCATTATTTCACAAATTTTTATGCTGTGACGTAATTGTAGGTATTAAATATTCTGTAATTATATTACTTTGAAAATATAATTCGTAAGTCACATGTCGCTGTTTTCCATCAATCGAGTTGACTAGGTTTTTTTATTAATATGACAATACTACAGTGTTGTATTGGCGCTGTGGGTTACCCGACAATTGCCCACTGGTCAAATGCGCCCAAACAATTTTAATTTGTATTCTTTTTTTTAACTGATTACTGGCAGAATTTTTTTTGAATTATTTTTTTTCTTCGGGAATGGATTGTATTATTTCATAGGAAATTGATTTGAAACTTGTCATAAATATGACTCATTTTAAGTTTAATTTACTAAATTTCTTTTCTACAGGGTGGCCCATAAATGAGGAATGAACCGAACTTATATTCTTTTAAACCGAACATCCTGTCGATAGTTACAAGTGACAAATTTGGTTATTTTCAAATCGTTAAACAATTTTTGCATTTTCATTCATTTGCTAAGATATATACAGGGTGTTGAAATAATAAAGACGATATTATTATTATTTTTTTTTGTGTCATCGGCTTCAACTACCAGGGGCTCGATTCTCGAGTTCATTGGAAAATTTTCCCATGGGAAAAGATTCCACGACTTATATTCCCATGGTAATAGGTTATGCAATTCTCGAACTTGTCGGAATAGACATTCCCATGGAAATAATAGTTTCACGTATGCCTGATATTAAGTTCACGAATATTTCGAAATAACCAATAACATTAAAGATATTTTAAAATTTACTGTTGGTATTATTTGTATTTGTTGTGGTTTTTGGGTAACCGATTACCTGCCGAGCCTCTGCGCTGGAGCAGATGCCGTGCCGAGCAATCGCTAGCTTGACCGAGGACAAGTGAAAATATTCGATTATGTATAATTAAAACTTATCGAGTTATTTTTAGTTTTTCTTTTCACATATTGAAAAAAGAAAAAGTAGCTTTTGTATAGAAGAGCAACGAAAGTTTCGAGAAACTATATATATAAGAAATTCTTTCGTTAACGGAAATAATAAAATTTTCGAAAAGGTCTTATTAAATTTACTACAAATTTCTCAATTTGTGTTACCTATTTTCCAGTCCCTTAGCAGCTCCCACAATTTCTAACTAATTTAAGAAAATCAGTTTCTTAGTGAAAGAGAGGTAAAAATAATATACCCACATAAATAAAATAATATCAATTTATAAATACACAAAAAAAAAATGTTTTAACTACAATTTCACCAAAAATCCAAGATATCCAATAATCTTTGGTTATGTCTTAGTCTTTCGCGTGGTCTTTCGTCAAATTTTCGACTTTAATGCGCAAACTCTAGTACAATTCCCATTGGAAAACACAATTTCCAATGCTCGCAAGCAGGGGAATATTTTCCCATACTTCTCATTGGAAAATATTCCACCGCTTATGCCGAGAATACGAAAACTGAATTACCATGGGAAAATTTTATTTTCCCATGGGAATAAAAGTCGAGAATCGACCCCCTGGGTTATTTCGCCTCGTGTTCTGTGTAGGCTTTGTTACTGTTTCCCAGCGCCACTTTAGGAACCGCACTGTTAATTGGAACCCAACAGTTAATGGTCGAATGGGGAATCCTACCAAGGCATCAGAATTAATTTTAAATAATTAAATTAAATGAAAAAATTCCGGCCAACGGTGGGTTTCGAACCCGGGACCCTTGGATCCACAGGCAGAGACTCTACCACTGAGCCACCCACCCCACGATATTATTATTATTATTATTTTTTTTTTTTAATTTGGTGTCATCGGCGTCGACTACTACGACCATTAGCCTCGTGTTCTGTCTAGGCTTTGTTACTGTTTCCCAGCGCCACTTTAAGAACACCACTGTTAATTAGACCCCAACAGTGAATGGTCGAGTGGGGAATCCTACCAAGGCATCAGAATTAATTTTAAATAATTAAATTAAATGAAAAAATCCCGGCTAACGGTGGGATTCGATCCTGAGACCTTTCGATCTCAAAGTGATGACTCTAACCACTGAGCCAACCCACCCCCCCACGATATTATTATTATTATTATTATTATTATTATTATTGATTCAATAATTTTATTGGTAATTAACACACAGGGTTTAAAAAAATGGAGAAAACGTAACCTTTCGTTTTGACACACACTACAGCATAGTAAATAAAAATAAAAACATTTTTAGGACCGTTAAATCTATTAAAATTTTTTTGACCTTGTTGTGTACCGCTATCGCTACCTACGTGTTTGCTTTAAAAAAGTGTGTCGGCCCCTCATTTATAGACTATCCTGTATATTTAATAGTAATTATAAAATATGATCATACAACTTTTGAAAAAAAAAATTTCTTTGTATCTCCAATAATAAAACTGCCACGATCAAATACGCACTGATATATGTATAATAGGCCAATATGTTGTGTTGGTATTGTTGAATAGGTAAATTTATAACGAATTTTATACCAAATAATATACATGGTATGGCGTTTGAAAAAAATGGAGTAACTTAAGATTACCCATATTTAAGAACACTTTGTATAAAATAAACTAGTTTTATTATTACTAGCGTAGCTCGGTATTTTATGTCTGTATTTCAAACATTTTTGAAATCATTGCTAACCTACCTAAATTATGATAATTTTATTTGGGGTTTGCTACACAAAAGTTCATTGCTTGGCAAACCTGTAATATTTTTTGAAAAAATTCTAGTAGGCAATACATTATTATGTAAACAATCTAAAACTGAAATAAAAATACAGGGTGTTCCAATTAAAAAATTACATTTAAAAACCTCTGTTTTGACCATTTAAAATTAGATTAATTTTGTCGGACCCAATATGGTGAGGCGCATATGCCGTGGAGCGCATATGTCGGGGGAGCATATGTCGGGGGGTGTAATTGTCGTGGGCGATTATGTCGGGAAACGCATTTGTCGAAGCGCTTTTGTCGGGTGCATTTGTCGGGGCACATCTGACGGGTAACCATCGGTGTGATATATGAATTATCATGACTGTGAAACAAACTTCTTTCGTTACAAATCACTATTATGTCAGTTATAATCGTTATCATATAGTTGACATCATACTTATTGTATTATCTTTCTAAATACGAGTATAATTTCGTGGTATGGTATGCTTAAATATCTATAATTTTTTGAATTGCCAACTAATGACAGTCGAACTCGTCCATTTTCGTCGTTTGGTTTTTATGAATAAGCAATGAAAATACAGTGAGCACGTTAAGATTAGAACAATATCGATAAAATGTTTATTGATTAAGAAAAAATGTATGCCCTGGCAGGTCAATTTTGTTTTATAGATGGGTATATTTTGGTGTACGTATGTTTTGTGTTTATGATGTCATCACTTTTCAAATTATGTCTTCCTCTTCATTTTTTTAAAATGGCACCTCATCAAATTTTGTGTATGTTACAGCACAAAATTTTCGAAATAAAATAAAAATTATAATGGACGCTTAACAATATTTTGCAAGAATTTTAGAATCGACTAGCAAATTTTTGTTATTTTTAATAGCTATTTATGAAACCAGTTACGAAATGATTTATTTTAAGTAACGAGTGAATATTTGAACATTAACTAGTTACATAAAACGCTTAGATAAAAGATAAAACAGCATTCCGTAACGTGTTACATACAATATTTTTTCTAATTTTGCCTGAATTATTTATAAAATTGTGTTTTGGTAAGAAATTATTGACCTCTAGGCAACCAAATTACTACTTTCTTATATTGTTAGTTGCATGTTCATCATTTTATTGACAGAACTTAATAATAATTAGTTATTCTCGACGCGTTGTAGTGTTTATATGGCTTATTAAAGTTATTTAGAATAATTTTAAAATTCGTAAACAAATCTCAAAAATCCCCCTACAAATTATTAAGACCATCCACGAACCCCGAACGTGAAAACAGATACTTGGAGATTTGAAGATTTGAAAAAAGCCTACCAACGTCAGGATTCGAACCCAGACATCATTCTTCTGTACACAAATGCCCTAACCACTGGACCATCGCGACACTGACTGTCCAGATTCTCCCGATAGTTTGATGTACTAATTTGAGCCAAACGCCATTTTCAGGCTATTTTTCAAATCTCCAAGTATGTGTGTCACTTTTGAGGTTCGGGGATGGTCTTGATAATTCGTAGAGGGATTTTTGAGATTTGTTTCCGAATTTTAAAATTATTCTACAACTTTATATGTCAAAAGTCATTAAATATTGTTTAATACTAAATTTTTTTATTTCAATAATATTTTTATTAGACGCCTTTATGCAAAAATATTCTCTTTTATTTAAATGGTACTATCAAAAACTGGTTGTTCCAATAATTCCGAGGCGGAAGGAGGGCTACCAATCGTCGAGGGATAAAAAGAAACTTCAGTCCCGTGATTTTTACGCTAATTAATTAATTTTAGGAAAAAAAAAAAGAATTATGAAAAATCACAAGACGGTACTCTAATAATAATAAAGCAATGACGTTGTCAGTGCAAGGTTATTATAGTGTTGACGTATATTGTACTTTGTACCGTATTTTCGAATATATGGTATAAACATATTATACTTTTAATTTTCAGGAATTAAAATTCAATTTGAATCCCTTGGGAGTAAAAGTGTCATTTGTACCGTCAATCCCTAGGGATTAAAAGTAAGTTTTTTAGCCCTAGGGAGTAAAAGTGCCATTTTAGTCATGAAAGTGCATTAAAAGATTTTGATCAATGATGGTACAAAAATTATCACTCTTTTAAATTCATGTTCTCCAAATACCACGCTTTTTCCAAACGTCAACTTTTAAAACTAAAACGTTAGTATTAATGAGAGATAGAAAAAATAGTTTTTCTTTTAATTATTTTGTATGTTTTATTAAAAATGGTGACGTATTGGAGTTTAATTATTATTATTAACAACATGCTGCTTTTTATAAATTGAATAATAGTGGATGCTTACCATTTTATTAGAGTTAATAAAACATTTAAACACTACCACTGCACTAAAGAAAAACTAGGTAAATAGAATCAAATTACTTAATACTTAAGACCTGAACAAAAATGCTGATATATGCAATCGATTTATTTGGCAATGATATATTTAATAACATTTAAATAAAACAAATATAAAAAATGAAAACATTTTTAATTACTTCTTCTTAAATAGCAGCCTATTTTTGATGTACTATATTTTATAGAGTACGAAAATATTCTAATGCAATAAACTTAAATAATTTATTTCAAATACAAATATTTGTAAAATAAAAACCAATAATACACTATATTTCATGCACTTTAGGGACTAAAAGTATACTTTTTGTTCCTATTATCAGTGACTAAAGTGACATTTTTACTCCTTAGGGACTAAAATGGCATTTTTACTCCCTTGGGAATCAAATGTACTTTTATTTCCTTTGAATTACCAACCAAAGATTATACAGTGTGATAATTTAAAAACTTACAATCGACTATACGAGTATCTCACAAACGAAAGATGATATCAAAAAATACTTAAAATCGTTTTTAGGATAGGAAGGAGGACTAAAATGACAAAAGAGAACTCACCCCCATTAACCCCCATTAACCCCCTAGGCCCCACCTATTCCAACTAAAAAAAGTTTGAATAGCAAACCCCTACTTGTGATACATCATTGAAAAGCCTATAAGAAATTCTATCCAATGGTATAAATAATTACCAAATTAATATCTAACAATTTTAAAAACAAACATAGCCTATTTGTGATATAATAATAATAAAAAGATCTAAAGGCCAATAAAACCTTGGGTACTTTTTGCTATGAAATAAAAACTTTAATTTGTCGTTTTTGCAAAACAATTTTTTTTTTATTAATGTCTGGCTTCAACAACTAAGCTCATTAGCCTTGTGTTCTATGTAGGTTATGGATTGTACTAGTAGTTTAATACTCCATAGTGCAGGAGTATTAGTACTGTAATACTCCTGCCCAACTCGTGGGAATAACATGGACAAATCTACAGACATTATAGACCTGTGCGGGGGCGGCCAGCCCGTGGGGAATCCCCCAAATTCTGGTAGATCAAATAAGGTGGTAACCGATACAAAAAAACAAGAAGACCTGAAAGAAGAAATAACTAAATTAAAACATAGCCGTCTAAACTTGCTTGGAGAGGCAAAAAGGTGCAATTCCGTGTCCTTACCGGACAGGAAAAAAAGAAAAATAGGGGACACCTCCTTAGACACCTCTCTACTGGAGCCCTACAAACAGAACGAAGCTATCGAGAAGAACAAGAACCTAGTCCAGGCACTCGAAAAACTCGTAGAGGAGTCGCCCAATACTAACAAAAAAATCAAGGAACTAACAAAAATGATGACCCGAAACGTCAAGGAATTTGAGAGAGAGGTTGTTGTACAATGGATGGAAAAACACAAGCACGAACCAATCGAGAAGATTACCTTCGATTCCGAATCTCAAACCCAACCAGAGAAGAAAAGCACAGCGGAGATATCTACTCAAACCGACCCCTGGCACGGAGGTCAACAAACGTTAAGAACCCTAGAAGGGATTGATAACCTGGAACAGTACAGACAGGTAGGGGGCATGAACTAGGAGAGAACCCTATTCAAGAAAACCGAGGTCAGGGTGGGGAACCCACTGGCAACAGATGACCAAAAAACCAAGGTAGTTCTCATAGAGCCAAACGACCAGGACATGAATCTGAGCGTCCAACGCCTATATAAGGAAAAGTTCCCGGAGCTGAGTAAAATAAAAAACGAATTCGAAGTAATCGAACAGATTACAAAAATTAAAGCCCCCAACGACACGACCGAGCTGAGCACGAAAAAGGTGATAAAGGCCGCGCATAATGGAACCATGCAGGACATATGGGAAAAGCTGACCAGGGTCAGGGAGGAAACCCTGATGGACAAAAAAAGTGGCAATCCACCACATTAATAATATGAGCGTAGAAAACCTAGAAAAAATGACAGGTGATCTTCCAGAACAGCAATACCACAGTGGCTATCTACACTACGGCAAGTAACCGGGAGTCGGAAAGGGCAAGGACCACCTACGGAATGATTATAAGCGATGGTGAAAAATCATATAAAGACGTTCTAGGGAAAGTCAAGGCTATAATGGGCACGAACCAGTCGGCCAAGGCCATTAGGAGTCTACGCAGCACGAAAGATGGCAAGCTATTGCTCACCATCGAGAAGGACCAGGAGGCTCTTAGGAACATACATGGGGCAATAAGTGACAGCGCTACGGGACTGAAGAGCAGAAGACTGGGTATGGATAAAAACACGGCAATTCACATCAGAGGAATGGAGGCGGAAACCACGGTGGACAACATCAAATCTTCAGTCGTGGATATAGTGGGCATATGGGAGGAAGAAAACAAGCTAAGTGAGTTACGTCCGTTAAGTAACGATACTTTGGCAGCAACTTTAACCCTGAAATCAAACACAGCCGAAAAAATTCTGCAAAACGGATTTCTCCAGGTAGGACTTGTGAAGTGTAGGGTGGAGAAAAGGTTAAACGTGCAAAAGTGCCAAAAATGCTGGTCGTACGAACACTACACCGACAGATGCATCGGACCAGATAGCAATTGCTTTAAATGCGGCATGAGCGACCATAACTCAAAAGCGTGCATAAATGAGGAAGCCTGTGTACTATGCAACGAGAAAGGTCACAAAATTGGTACCATGAGGTGCCCGAAATTCAAAGAAGCATTGAAACATGCTAGGAAGGAGGAAAGTAGAAAAGCCTACGCCAAAACATATGCTCAAAAAGAGGAGCCCAAACAAAATGACAGAAAAAAGGAAACTGGCCCTGGTCCATCAGACGAAACCCTCATGGAAGACGACCAAAATGAAGAATTCAGTCGCCTTGTAGAAGAAGCCCAAGCCACTTGGAATGCCACAGGTAGGGCTTCATCGCCCACACAAGCCTAAAGCTTAAAACGCGCTACATATCTCTCTTCACTCTAAAATTTTTACAAATTAACGTCGATCGTGCTAGAAGAGCACACGACGTCGCAAACGCTGTGGCAATAAGAGAGGACGTTGACATAATCTTTATCCAGGAACCGAATAAACAAATCGTGACAAACATGGGGCTTATCTCTGACACTAGAAAAGACGTGGCGATTGTCGTCAGGAATAAAAACATTGGCATAACGGGCCACGAATCCAAAACCAGATACACCAGAATATCGGTAAATGGAACAGATCTACTAATAATCCAAACGTTATCATCCTGGGCGACTTCAATGCGAAATCATCTCTTTGGAGCCCAAATAAGATAGACGAAAGAGGGAGATACCTCGAAAACTGGATGGCCACTCTTAATCTTACCACCCTAAATAACAAACGAACACCCACTTTTACCAGGGGCACTAGTGAATCTTTCATAGACATCACGATAGCAACGGAACGCACCTACAGGCGAACTAACAACTGGAGGGTACTACTAGAGGAATCGTTGAGCCTACATAGGTTCATAACGCTTGAGATTAGACAAGAGGGGACAATACAAAAAAGGACGCAAATGACATATACGCCTAATAGACCAGTGGACACTGAAAGCCTCATCAAATCGTTGGCACTTCTCAAACATAACACTAGAGACTCGCACAAAAATTTAGTAAAAATTCTAAAAACAGCGCAACAAACCAGTGAAACCAGGCATGCTCTGCAAACAAAAAATGCTCCATACTGGTGGAACGATGAAGTCGCAGAAAGAAGAAGTATATGTAACGCCTGTAGAAGACAACTTACTAGAGCCAGACGAAGAAGAACAACCACTCCGGAACAACTGCTGGAGGTAGAAAATAAGTATATAAGCTCCAAGAAGGAATACAAACGGGAGATAAACAGAGCAAAAAGGAACAAATGGAGGGAACTGTGCATAGAGCTCGAAAATGACGTATGGGGCCAGGGATACAAAATTGCAACCCGGCATTTAAAAAATCAGACGCTACCATACCAGCTGTCCAACGAAAAAAAGAGACATATCATCGAGACACTCTTCCCAGACTGGAATGAGGAAAAGGTAGCTCGAGTGACCTCAGCTGAATATCAAACATTCACTATCGAAGAATTAAATGCGGCCGCAGCTAGACTAAAACCAGGAAAAGCACCCGGGCCGGAAGGCATTACTCCGGTAACCGTCAAGGCGGCAACTAGAGCGATGCCGATGGAATTCTTACAGGTGTACAACAACATAGCGAAACAGCAGATTTTCCCGACACCCTGGAAAAGGGCAAGAGTAGCCCTCATCCCAAAAGGAAACATAGAGGAGAACAAGTTCAGGCCAATATGTATCCTGGATGTACTTGGTAAATTACTGGAACACTTAATTAAAAATAAATTAGAGGAGCACCTAACATTATCGGATACTCAATTCGGATTTAGAAAAGGGCGTTTCACCGTGGAAGCAATAAGGACCATCATAGGAGACACCAAACACCCGTGGCAAACGATGATATGTGTTGATGTAAAAAATGCCTTCAACACGGCGAAATGGGCTTTAATACTGAGGAGACTGCGTGAATCCAATACACCAGGGTGGCTCATGAACCTAATTATTAGCTACTTCGAAGATAGACAAATATACACAGAAGGATACAACAAAATCATCACCCAAGGAGTCCCGCAGGGGTCCGTACTGGGTCCAAAGCTGTGGAACGTCCTCTACGACGAGGTACTAAGGCTAGAACTTCCGCCAGATTGTGAAACGGTGGCTTACGCAGACGACCTTACCTTAGTAGTCTGATCAGGTTCCAAAAAAGGACTAGTGGAAAAGGCGAACATCTCCCTGGCACTAATAACGAACTGGATGGAAGGAAATCAACTTACACTAGCTCTACAAAAAACGGAGGCAGTTATCCTCAAGGGTCCCAGAAATAGAACAGGTATCAGCTTTAGAATAGGAAACATGGAGGTCATCCCTACAAAAAGTGCTAGATGTCTGGGAATATACCTAGACGATAAGCTCATATTCAACGAGCACATTCGGAGATCTATAGAGAAAGCGGAAAAATCACTCTCAGCTTTGACACGAATAATGCCAAACATAGCAGGTCCATCCAGCACAAAAAGAGAAGTACTGAGTCACGTGGTACACTCGATCCTCCTATACGGAGCACCGGTGTGGCATAGGGCCGCAGAAAAAAAGACGTACGGTAACATGCTCCAAAGGATACAGAGAAAGATGGCGATAAAGGTGACAAGCGCGTACTGCACAATATCGAGTGAAGCAGCAAACGTGATCGCCGGGATAACCCCGATTAGACTCATGATACAAGAACGAGTTAGATTACAATCGAGGAAAGACAGGGGAGAAACCATCACAGACTCCATCAGGACGGAGGAAAAACTCAGGACCAGAGCGGCCTGGCAAAATGAGTGGAATTTGAATACGCAGAAGGCACAATGGACGAAAACCCTAATTCCAAACATAAGCAGTTGGCTCACGTGCGAACACCGCAGACTGGACCACTATACCACACAATTCTTTAGCGGTCACGGCTCCTTCAGGAAATACACGAACAAAATAGGCAAGGCTATGGATTCAAAGTGTATATACTGCGGCGAGGAGGACACATCCGAGCACACGATTTTCTGGTGTATCCGATGGAACTCAGAAAGGAACAACTCCATTGAAATAAATCATCTAAATCTAACGCCGCAAAATATCATTGAGAATATGACCAAAAGCGTAGAAAACTGGAATCAAATAACGACCTTCATAGGAAAGATAATGAGAAAGAAGTGCGAAGAGGAAAGAGACTATCAAGATATGGGCGGAACATGATGGAAACGGCCTGAAGGTACTGACGAAAAAAATCAAAAGATTAGTCCCGGTACTTTCGATCACAGGCCACTGACATGGGGGGGTTTTAGTGGGTATTTGAAGTCATGAGTCCCACACTACCCTGCTCAACATCTAGCAGGGTGTGCGTAAAGGCATTTCCCCTCAAAAAAAAAGTACTCTAATACTCCTACACCCCTACAGACAGGCCTTGTTACTATTTTCTTGCGCCACTTTAGGAACACCACTGTTAATTAGAACCCAACAGTGAATGGTTGAGTGGGAAATCCTACCGAGGCATCAGGATTAACTTTAAATAATTAAATTAAATAAAAAATATCCCGGCCAACGGTGCGATTCAAACCTGGGAGGACCCTTTGATTCGCAGGCAGAGACTCTACCACTGAGCCACCCACCCCCTGCAAAACAAGTTTTAAAAACATCTCTTTTTTGGGTTCTATTGCAGTCAATAATTTTTTGATTATTTGAGACATTTAAATATCATTGATCATCATTTGTACGATCGGTACTGGTATTCAGCTGTAGTATACCTGAACGTGTGGAAATAATTTTTATATTTGGTTACCAGAACCAGTGTTATTTACGAATAGCTCAAATATTTATGGAAAAAAATGTAAGTCACGTGTACATCTGCGATTTAGTTGAAAAGTGTAAAGAAACGATATCAGTGCAAAATAAAAGAAAAGGATGCCCCAAGATTACTGAATGAAGCAAGCCAATTTGAGGTCAATTTGCAAATTAATTATATTGATGTCAACCAATAAATAATCAAAATTGAAATAAAACCCTGTGGGGAAGCGTCTGTCTCTACTCCTGGAATATCGTCATCATTCATGCAACATAAAAACGATTTTGCAATATCTTGCTTTATGTTCTCAAAATCTTCTATGAATTCTGGAGTAAACGGAATAGATTTACAATCTTTGATAGGACATATTTTCTGCGAGAATTTTGGTATCCATTTCGAATAATGGGCAGACAATCCCAATATTCTTCGCAAGGAAGCAGTATCTTCTGGAGGTTTTAATTCCAAAAGGGGCTTTAATCTATCTGAATCTGGTCGAAACGTTCTGTTTTCGATACAATACCCTTATAACTTTATGGAACGTTTCGAATAGCTACACTTATTTTCGTTGAGGGTTAAACCATATTTCTTTGCAATACATAAAAATTTATCTAAATTTTGATTACGAATATCTTGATTTTTGCCGCATATAGTTACATCATCTAAGTAACAAAACTCCATTAGTCACACCAAAGGGGATCCTGCGAAATTGATATAATTTTCCACAAGCCTCAATTAGTGTGAAAGGCTTCTCTAAATTACTTATAGGCATCTGATGATAAGGGCTTTTTAGATCTATGGTGCAAACAATTTCGTATTTAGGTAGGTCATAAGTATCTAATATTGTAAATTATGATTTTCACTTAAAACTACTAGTACTTGTGCTCTCCATGGTAATATGCCTTCTTCTATTATTTCTTCTATTAATAATGTCCCAACTTCATTTTTTATAAAAATTTCATCTTGATCAGAGTGGCGGCGTGAGTTTGTTGCTATTGGTTTGCAATCTGGAGTTAGGTTTGCAAAAAGTAAATGACACTAAACTAGAATGTGGTTGAAAAATATCATGGCCAATAATTACATTAGAACATAGGTTCGGTAACACTAAAATTCTCATATTTTGGTAATTTTGACCTAGAAATTGTAGATGTATCACGCAATATCCTTGAATGTCCTGTGAAAAAGTTGTAGATGCCATAATTACTTTGTGTGTGCAAGGGATTATCTTCAAATTATGTTTAATTGCAAAATCTTAGTCAAGGTAACTGTCGGAACTTCCAGTATCTATTAAGGACGTGGCATTAGTATTATTTATTCTGCAATTAACAAGTGTTTTTGTTAAGCAGGGAAGACCAGAGCTAGAAGTAGTAAGGAAATAGGTAGAAGCTAGTGTTGATTTTACAGTAGACTTTGTCATTATTGGCTTTAACCTTTA